GATGCAGAGTTCCACAGCTAGGCCCTGGGTAGAGCTCCGGGATTCTATTTAGCGAGGAAGAGGAGGGTTTATATGAGCGAGATATGTTGAAACCAAGGTTGGATAAAGCATAGGGACCTATAGCAAAATGAATAGAAACACATGAACTATATTCCAATGGCTGAGGGGTCCCCAACTGGATCAGGCCCTTGAATGGGTAAGACAGTTGATTGGCTTGATCTGTTTGGGAGTCATCCAGGCAGGGGGCCAGGGTCCTGTGTTCATTGCATGAGTTGGCTGTTTGACACCTGGGGCTTATGCAGGGTTGCTTAGCTCAGTATTGGAGGAGGGGACTGGACCAGCCTGTACTGAGTTTACCAGGTTTACCTCAGTCCTTGGGAAAGGCTTTGCCCTGGAGGAGGTGGGAACGGGGTTAGCTTGGGGTGAAGGAGAGAGGTGCAGGAGGCGGGTGAACAAGAGAATCAGTGTCTCATATGGAGAACTGAATTGTATTGTAAAGTAAAATAAAGTAAAAAAATAAATAAATAAAGGAATACAATGGATGACTTTCCTATTTTATAAAGAACCCATCACAAGAGAAAAACTTCTGTGGAATATTAATTGAAGATATGTTACATTTTTTTGCTGTGTAATATTTGTTTAATGATGCAAAGATGTGTATCATTGGTTTAACACAGTGAGTCTGTGTTACTTTGCCTGTCTAAAATACCTGATTGGTCTAAGAAAGAACTGAATGGCCAGTAGCTAGGCAGGAGAGGGATAGCTGGGACTGCCAGTCAAAAATCAATAAATAGAAGGAGAATAAGAGAAGAGAAAAAAGTGAGAAATGGAGAAAGAGAGGATGATGCTGGAGACCAGCCACCTACCCATCCAGCCACACAGCCAGAAGCAGAGTAAGAGGTAAAGAAAACTTATACAAAAACTGAAAAATGTAAAAGCCCATCAGCAAAAGTTAGACTGGCTAATTTAAGATAAGAAGTGCCGCTTTCAAACAAGCCCAGCTAAGGCCGGGCATTCATAACGAAGAATATTTCTCCATGGGATTATTTCAGAGCTTAGTGGCAGGTTATAGTGGTTAGTTTACAGATTTCTTTCCACAATCCAACCTCCTGAAAGATAAAGTGATAGTCAATAGTGAAAGTGCACTTATGGGATGGCATAAACTTGGAACAAGTTCCCTCAAACAATATTAAACCCTCAACATCTGTTGGGTGATGTGTTGTGATAAGGAGATTTGGGGCACCGAGAAAATGATGACACAAGAATCCCACAGGGCCACGGCAGGGGTCTTTGTTTGTTTAGATTTTTGTTTTCATTTGGTTACTTGATTTTGAGTTGGGTTTCCATTAGGTGATCCAGGGGTAATATGAATCTGTGATATTCCTGCTTCAATCTTTCATGTAATTGGTCCTCATAATAATTACTTTGAATAATGTCTCTGTGTATTATCAAATGAGAAGGGTTTCATTCCTGGCCCAACCTATTCTGTTTTCTTCCCCACCACACAATGCTCTCTAGAAGGCAGATTTCTCAGACTGGCCTGACCTACTCTAGTCTCCTTGAATTCTCAGGGTTTATTGCCTGCATTCACCTGTTGGTGACTAGAGTATGCTCTCCTGCCACATGGTATTTGATACTTCTCTACTGATTTTTTTTATTTCCTTTTGATTTATTGTCTCCTTGGTGTAGCATACCAGCAAGAATCTAAACACAGGCATCAACTACATAGAAAGTAACACATGCCTAAAATAAGCAACCATATTTGATATTTCTGAGACTGTGCTCTACTCTAAGTGAGGAGGTAAGTTGGATATCAATCTCAAACTCCTAACTGAGATCCTCAAAAATATCAGTATTAGTATTACAAATATTATTATTATTATTTTGAGAAACATTCTCCTATATCCCTGGCTGGTCTACTACTCAATCTGTAGTTAAGGATGAATTTCAGTATCTGTCTTTACATCCTGAGTACTCGAGTTACAGGCCTTTGACACCACTCCTGATTATCTGTGATGTTGAAGATTGAACCCAGGACCTAGTACATGCAAAGCCACTACTCTATAAACTGAGATATAGCTATTTCCATTTTTTTCCTTTTCAAAAATGGGGCCACATAATATTGGTGATCTGGGAATCAACTTTTAATTGATGCTGTCCTAGAACTTCTGATCCTAATGCTACCAATTTCCACCATGATTATCCTCTCTAAAAGTAATCTGAACATATTATACCATTTAAAATAACAGATTATCATAGAAGGATTTAATGTGCCTTGGGGCTAGAGGATGAAGTTGTCTTGAAAGAGTGAGTGCCTGGCATCTAAGGCAGGATTTCAATGAGGAAAAAAACTGAGTATATGTAGAAATATGAGTATATTCGACCCATTTTACTTGGTGATTAATATTTTCTGTAGGGATGAGAAGAGTAAGAAATCATAATGGAAAGGCAATGGTGTTCCAAAAATAAGATGCAGAAAAATATTTCCTAATAAACTCAATGGAATAGATCAATTATTTAAAGTCAAGGTTTTGATCCTCTGCTATTGATAAAAACAGGGAAGCAGCTCACCTGTTATCTACAGGCCTAATAAAAAACCCTATGTTTAGGCCATGTCTTTGTGGAACATTCCTTTAGTTCATACACTCAGGAGGTATGAGGAATGTCTGTGAGGTCCAAGTCAGTATGGTCTACACAGTGAGTTCCAGGACAGCAGAGCTGTTACTCAGAGAAAGACTGTCTTGGAAATAAAAGAAAAGGAAAGAAAAAACAACAACAAAAAATCAAAACAAAAATCAAAACCAAAAAGCAACAAACATACACAACAACAACAACAACAAAGTCCTTGGGTTTAAGTAAACAGAACAGAACACCAATAGTACAGTCACTAAAAGCAACAATTAATAATAGGGTCCTCATGAAACTGTAAAACATGTGTGTGGCAAAGGACACATTTGTCACAAGGACAAAGTGACAATCTAGAGAATAGGAAAAGATTTTTGCCGGCTATACACACTATAGATGGATAACATCTAAATAAGTAAAGAACTAAAAAAAAAATGGACTTCATGGAAGCAATTAACTCAGTTAAAAATGCAGTATAGAGCTAAACAGAGAATTGAGGAAAGTGAAAATACAACCTTCACTTGAGGAAGCTTTCATTTGTACCCACACTTCCTAATCCTCAGACCCCCCAAAGAGGAAGATCAGAGAGCCCTGAAAAAGCTTAGCTCACACCCAAATGTTCACTTAAATGAATAAAATTGCCTGCCTTTTTGGCCCTGGTATTCTCAAAGGCAGAATCTAAATGGCTTCTATGATCTAATCAATTAGGGTTAAGGCTTCTTAGGATCTGGCAATGATGTTGGAGGCAAAGAAAATTGCCTAAGGGTAAGCAGTAGGCTTCATCTCTTGCTCTCCTATCATGTAACACCTGTGATTGTAGAGATTTTAATTTACACACTGGAAAGATGCTACAGTGAAGCCAGAGCATGAATGATATCACACTTCCTGACTTCATCTGTAGGATTCTTCCTAACTCAGTTTGGAATAATCCTTATCTGAACCATATTTCTAATGACAAACCTCAAAAAATGTTTACATACAGGACATCTTCACTAGTCTAGAATTTATTAAGGTACATTTAATTTTTATGTCTTCCTCATCCTCATCCTTTTATACACTCTTTGGAATCTATCTTAATATAGTCATTATGATTCCTCCTGCTCTCTAAATACTACACATATCTCGATGTCAACAACTGGCTTGCCACATAAATAATACAAAAGAATCTTATCCTGACAGTCCTCTCAATGGTTAACCCCAAAAGTCGGGTCTTACACCAGTGAAGGGATGACCTTGCCAGTTAGAACAAGAGCAAGAAGACAAATAGTAAAGATGAAAGAATTTCTTTCTTCCATGTCCTTTATACAGGCTGCCAACAGAAGGTACAGCTAAGATTTAAGATGAATTCTCCTATCTCAATTCATCTGAGTTTAGGTGGGGTTTCCTAATTCCAGTGATTCAATCAAGAAAATTCCCTAACAAGACATATCATAGCATCTTGGGTTTTGATCATTAAACATCTTTTTTTTCCCTTACCAATGTTTTTTGTTTGTTTGTTTGTTTTCTTACATTTTTCTAGACAGGGTTTCTCTGTTTAGCTTTGGAGCCTGTCTTGGAATGTACTCTGTAATCCAGCCTAGCCTGAAACTCTCAAAGATATGCTGGTGTCTGTCTCCTGAGTGTTAAGAAGAAAGTCCTGGGCTACCAACATTCCCTCCCTGGTTTTCGCATGTAGTTTTTTTTTGTTGAAAGCAAGAAGAAATGAACGAGAGGGGAGTAGGTAGAAAAAGGGATGAATTTGAAGAAATTGCAGTTGCAGTTGAATTTGAAAAACATAAGTTGAAGTAAATTCTTAAAGAATTATTAGGAATTTTTAATGTTTATATTTGCTAAAATCACAGATTGATATCATTAACTGTTAAATTGGAAAAGGTAAACCGAAATTATGAGCACATCACAAAATATTAGAAACAGTGAAATATTGAAGTAAAATTGCTCTTTATATGTTTTTAATGCAAGTTCTCACTGTATATTTCAGGATGGCTTTGAACTAAAACTTCTCCTGCTTCAACAGCCCATTTGCTAGGAATCTGATTTAAAGGTGTGACCTATCAAACCCAGATAAGATATGTGACACAGGAAAACTTGTGGAGGATTATTTTGTGATGATTGGCCATAGATTTAATTCAATCTCCCAGCCAATTAGATTACTCTATTTCCAGTGTGTGTGGTTTCTAGAGATTATATAAGGAAACGCCAGGGGCCATCCAGGTTCATTCTTCTCTAGACCAGACAGAGTGTGTTTCCATACATTCTTAAACCCAGACTGCTAGATCCTTCTAGCCCACACATTGAGGGTCACACCACAGAGCTGTGCTAATATTGTTGTGTCCTCAACAGATACTGCTGAGACCAGAGACTATTACCATGGGAAAATGGAGTCAGACATCTCTCAAGCCTTCCAGGAAGAACTCACCTGCTTTATCTGCCTGAGCTGCCTGACAGAGCCAGTCACCATAAGCTGTGGCCACTGCTTCTGTCGAGCCTGCCTCCAGCTTTCCTGGGAGGACAACCATCTTCCAGTCCACTGCCCTATGTGTCGGGAACCATGCCAACAGAAGGAAATGAGAACCAACATTGTTCTGAAGAAGCTGGTGTCCATTGCCAGACAAGCCAGCCTCATGAAGGACCTGAGCTCT